AAAAGGAGGAGAGAGAGAGAGTGGAGAGAAGAAGAAAAAGGAGGAGAGAAGAGAGGTGGAAAGAGAAAAAGAGGAAGAGAGAGAGAGAGGTGGGAAAGAGAAAAATTTGCTTTTTTGGCATTTTCCAGTGTCAGTACTTGTTACTGGATTTGCTTTTTTCAGATGGTAATAGACTGTTTTCCTTGTACAGACACCATATCATCTCTCTAGGTGAGGGTTGTTAAACTCAAAACCCTTTATGGACTAATTTTCCCCTTCAGCTACCATCTTGAAGGCCAACAAAGATTCATACCTGGTTTTCTAGGATTACATTACTAAAACTGGTATTATGTGCTTCTATTGTCATTTTACATAACAGATTTTAAATGGTGATGCTAATGGTAACAGATCATATGACATTATTTTCTTTCATGGTGATCATAATTCCACAGGCTAATAATTCTTCTTGTTACCCTGTGGGCCACTTAAGAATATCACAGAGGGCACAATTAGCCGATGAACCATAAGTAAGATTGTAAACCCTGGGCTATTGCATTCACTACAAAAACACAGACACACACACACACACACAAAATGCAACAGTGTAAGTGACAATCTTCATAAATGAAGGGCTAGCTTAATAATGTAAAATAGACAACTATAAGACTGATATAGCAAATGTGCCCAGGGCTGCAAATGGGAGTGAGACTGGCTGTGTGTTTGACACCCCTACTCTAGGTAGTCCATAACTGAGTGGAAGAAAAATAACAGTAAGGAACATTTTGTTATTTGTCTTTTTATTTTTGTTGTAATATTCAATTTTCTGTAATACAACCACAGGAGTAAGATGTTGAGCATGGAAATGGCAGCCTCCCTGGAGCTGGTGCTCTTCCAGGACACTACATTCCACATTTGTTTATTGATGGGTATAATAGAAAAGCCCCTTTCTAAATGCCAAATAAGTCTAATCACTTTCACTGATACCCAGAATTCCTTTGCAGATTTTTGGGACTCCTGCCTAAATCTCGATGTCTAATCCTCAAACATAAGATGAATGATACCATGTTATATCTGTATGTAGCTTTTTGGTAAAGGTTTTAACTTTTCTTTTTATGATTTGCAGCCAAGATGTCCACAAAGCAGAACACATCTATCCGTACGACTGTGAACGAAAAGAGGAGTTTATCAGGAAGGGACAATGTAAGTAACATTTTACTGTGACTTTTCTTTAATATGGGAGTGGTTAATTAATGGGAGGGTTATTATTTAGCCTTTTTCTTAGTATGTTTTATTACTTTAGCTGTCATTTCATCATCAGGCTTATAGAATCATTATCATTTTATTTTTTTCAACATTTTGTATATCATGTTCATACATGTCCCTCGCATGAAAAATGTAAACTGAAAAAAAAAATAAGTGTACTACTATATATATATGAACAAAATGAGACCAGTCCTATCTTTATTATTAGCTTCGTATCAGTTATTAAAAACAAAATCTTTATGTACATTTGGAAGGTCATCTGTGTTTCATTTCTGCTGTTTTTCTTTGAAAATACATCTAGCCTATATTTGATACAGCTGTATGATGTGGCTAAAATATTCAATTTCTATTTCCCCTAGTAAACTGTGTAGTGAAACCATATATTATGTTTTTTGTGTATTGAAAATATATATTAGCCTTGTGTAGAGAACAGCTAAATAGATATGTACAGACATTAGACAAACAAGGCAAGAGTTGGCTTCAGTATTATTAACCCCTTGCTGCCGGGTGTCATGTATGTACATGCCATGGCTGTTGTGGACAAAGTAGTGGATGGCATTTTATCACGACCATTCCCGTGTCATTGGCTCATTGGACGGAGGTTGTTTTTCTCCAATAATTGCAGCTTCATTTATGTGGTAAAGCTTATAGGCAATAGTACCTAAAGTGAAGGTAAACCTTCAAATTTATAAAATTAAAAAAAAATATGGCAAAATAAACTGGTTGCAAACGGGAAACTGCTGATGTGTACCAACAGTCCCGTGATCATGTCCACTTACCAAACTTTTTTACCAGGGGTGAATGCGTTAAACCATGGTTTTTACGTTACAGTATTGAATTTGGTGTTGAAGCCATCTGTTGTTTGATGTAAAGGCAGAAAATTTAATTGAGTGACAAAATATGTATCATGTTCAACAGTAGAAACAGTCCTTTTTAATCCTGAGTCATGTATTTCCAACTGGCTGGTTACATCTGAGGTACTTTGACACATAAAAGATAATTACCTTTGTAAAATACAGTCTTGGCTTTGACTTAGCTTCATGATTTTTTTTTTTTTTTTTTTTTTTTATATTATTATTTTTTTGTTTGTTACTTGAATTCCCTCGGCTTTAGCTTTACAGCCAAAAGCAAAGGTTACACTAATCATCTCTGTCCAGGGATCCCTGGATATCCACGCTGAGCGTCTATCAAGTACAAGGCAGGATTGTCACAGTATGACCAGTGTGAAACATCATCCCTGAGTGTACAATAATCTGGATGAACTGAGCATCAAAGCTAGTTATGGATTCAATGAATTTCATTGCCTATTGATTTTAGAAATACAAGAAAGAAGACACAGAACTTAGAAAAGATACTCTGATACCCAGTGTTCCAACAGAAATAGAAAATCTGACAATATTTTTTCTAGTTGCATATACTGCTTTAAGTGGAGTCAGTAATGTATAAGAAATGTAATTGTTGACTGATGAAAACCAAAGTGGGTAGAAAGGAAATACTATAACTGAAATTGAGTAAGATGTTGTTAATTGTCGATTGTGATACAGCCTTACCTTATGAATCTTGTTGATTTATCCACCCATTACATTACCCCCGTACCCCCATCCCTCTTGCAGGCCTTCCTCTCCTTGAGCTAATCAGTCATGCTTTCTTGCCTCTTTCATCCTGTGATTAGAAGTAAGGATTCTGGTCATGTTTTTTTCTTCTCCCTTAACTTATCATATTATTTCACATCATGAGTTGCCACCTGGTGTATTGGTAGTGTTTTTCTTTTCATACATGTAGATGTGTCTGAATAGAATGTGGTTTTTATAGGATAGAATTATGATTTTATATGCTTTTTTTTTTATTTACATATTCAATGTAAGTTATCCATTTTCATTCATATATTATGGGTAGTTGTGATAAATTTTCTATTGTTATCATGTGTATTAGATAATAAATGATAGTGATATACATTTTCTAGTGCAAAAAATTAGGGCACTGCCCCTGGAGAAGTAGGGGGCACAGGGGTCAAATGGAGTTAGTGGTCTTATCATGGTGTTATGTGTGAGGAAACAAGTTTGTGGTCATTAGACCCTGTCTTAATTATTGCATGGTGTTATGGGCATAAGCATCAGAGGATATGAATTTTAGACATTTAGGTTAACCATTTGGTTCCAGGAGACGACATCTTGTCATGAAAGATTTTGTCTAAGGGGCAGCTAAGGGGTCCATTTCATCATGGAAACAAATTTGACTGAGGGATGGGTGACAGAAATGACTTATCATGGGAAAGTGTTGCGGAGTGATGGTGACGGGGATGTCTTCTCATGAATGTTTAAAGCACTTTGAGTGGGACTGACAAAGATGATATGAGGTCTGAGCAATGAAAATGGCCTATCATCATTTTTGTACAACAAAACAAATACAAACCTCAAAAAAAGGCAAAAAACAAAAGTGATCCTGAAAGATAGAAGGGCCTACAAGCTACAAATCCAGGAGAATTGCCACTCAAAGAAGCCAAATGCCCCCATTTTGGTCCATATATATCTCACGAGGCACCCAGATTCAGTGGCTGCATTTGTCTTTTCTATCATTGGAGAAAATAGGGCCTCAAAGTATTTTGGGGTTTAGTATACTGATTTTGAATTTCCCGAGAGGGGGAGGACCCTTGCCAAAATCCTTTTTTTCCCCCTAATGGTTTTATAAATTGACCTTGAAAGTTTTTTCATAGTTCATTTTTCACTCATTATTATGTTCATATTCGAACTTCTATAAAAGGAAAGAGACCCTTTCTGTTACTAGTTGTTGCAGTTAGATTGAGTCATTAGCATCACAAAACACATTATTTATGTAACTGAATATCCATATAACAAGGTTATCATTGGCTACACGATCTTTTCTTCTCATGCCTGAGTGGTTCCCTCTACTTCCCTTGCCCTCAGCCTTCCCCAATACTTAACACCTCCCCCCCCCCCACCTAGCTCAGCCACTCTGCATTCTTGCAACTAGCTCCATCCCCTATAGTGACTATCTAAACCAATCCAAAATAAAACACGTTTGTAAATGCAAGAAAAAAGAAATACAGTTACATCCAATTAACCCATTGGATCTGGGTACCTTGCCGCCTGAATATGGCCCAAAATCCAGGTGTTAGGCTAACTTAAGTGGACACTCTCCCACATGTATGGCTTGTAGGCCAAGCCCACATGAGCCTTTGCAATGTTATCTTTTTTATTGGCACAAATGTTCTTAGAGCTTTTTTGACATTTTCCAAGGTCTATAAATTTGCTATTTAATCTGCTGTAAGATGGTAATCTATTGCTTTCCTTGCACAGACTCCATATCATCTGTGTAGGTAGTGTACAATATCTAAAGCAGTAAATAACATTGTTATAAAATTTAGAATATACTTGACCCTCAGCTAACTTTTTTCATCACAGGACAGACATGTCATCCAGATCCAATGGGTTAAATTTCATTAATAAAGTGTTTTCATTATAGATTTATTGACAGATATTTAATATTTTTTCTGTGAAAAATAAGATTTGCTCAATAAGACTTCAAGAAAGCACAATGTATAAAAGACAAAAAATAATTCAATTAATTTTGAATTTTGGAACTCTTGTAAATTTCAGTGTTTTGCTCGTATGTCAGTAAAAGCAAATGCTCCTTTTGTGATGATCATTACATGGGCAGCAACAGTTCATACTTATAAACTGGTTATACAATAAAAGTCATAAAGAGAAACAATAGAGGCCTCACAATTCATGTGATTATGATGATGATTTAAAAGATAACCATTTTCATTGTCAGGTATTGGTAAATCATTATAGATTATTAAAAAAAGTAAAATTAATAGAAACATTATAGTCCACACAATTCCTTTAATGATGATTATATTTTGAAAGATAACAATTTTCATTGCCAGGTATTAGTAAATCATGATAGATTATTATAAAAAAATGAAATGAAATTGTAATGCAGAAATACTAGAAACCCCACCTCTGATTGGGTTAGTTATGAAAATGGAAAAATATCTTGAATGCATTTTTTTGTTGAAAGTATTCCGGGTTGAAAGTCTTGATAAGACTGAGCAGAAATTTAGCTTTGAATCCAGGTAAAGTGCATCCAAAATTATATGAATAATGATACACTAGATACACCAGATAATAAGACACTAAAAATTCTTGATGTAAGCTTTTAAGTAATAAGCAGTTGAAATTTTGGAAATCTTTGTCAGATATGTGTAAGTTTTATGGTTTATATAGTAACAATTGTGCTTATTTCAACACATCATATATTATTTAAATGACTAATATGTTGAGGATGGTTAAGAAGATTATAAAAAAAATATTAATAGTATTTAAACAATGTCAACAAGATTGTGGTATTCCCAGAAAAGTAACTTTACTCATTTTTGTGTAATATGTTATGGGGCAAATTTTATCCAGCTAGTGTCCTTGTTAGACAGATGTATCTTATATATATATTTACTTGTTAAAGACAGACCTGTATGTTAATATAAAATTTGAGAATTAAGCAGTCATATTTGCATTGATTTGAAGTAATTAAATTATCATAAAGGTGTATTGCATGCAGGTATAGAAACTTAGATATGTTTCATGAAAATGCACAAATATATGAATAACATTGCCTCTATTATGGGCATTGCTGACTGGCAATGAGTGGAGTAGGAGAGACATCAGGGTAAGTGGCATTCTTGGCATATATGATGCATTGGCCTACTAGCCTGATTGTAGTGCATCACTTTTTAAATGTTATATACACCAGATTGGGGAGATGTGACTTGGAGGTTAAACCAAATTGTATGTCTCTTTCTTTTAATTATTTTTCCCATTAATGTAGGATACAGAATTTCTTCTGATATCAGGCATTAAGCTTTGAAATTGGATTTTTTTTGTTGCAGACATTAACAAGAACCAAAGCCATGGTGATGTGGATCTCCTTGCGAAGTTTGAAGCTGACGTTGTTACTGCAGAGAAACTTACAGGTGGAGATATGAATATTCTCCAGACCATGGGTGAAGTTGCTGGTAAGCGCAGAATAGACTATAGTGATCTGGGTTTTGGGCCACCAAAACCTAAGAAGAAGAAAGAAGATATGATCAAGAGGGGATCAGATATTGGCCAGGCTGTTGTATATAAAAAGGTTGGGATAAGAAGTGCAGGTAATAAGCTTCAGAGGGTTGTCATAGAACACAAGGTTAGAATTCTGGAACAACCACGAAAGGAAAATATGACCCAAGACATGCGGGAGGCATCAAACTGGTACAAATGCTACAGCTGTGGGTATACATGTTCCAGACTTAATGTAATAATTTGGCACAACAAAGCACACATTAACAAAGTATGTAATTATGACACAGGTATAAAAGTCCCAGGTAGAAGGAAGCGCAAACAAGGAACCCCAAGGACAAGTAAAGAGATGCGAAAGAAAGCCAAAGATGCAAAAGGCAAAGAAAACTTGGAACATGCCCATACTAATGGGGAAGTATCTAGTCCAAAGAAAGATTCCCAAGACACTCAACAACTTCTTAAGGACTGGGATGATGAAGATGATGATGGAGAAGGGGACAGGGTAAAGGCACCAGGTGGACCAGGGAAAAGTCGCAATGATTCTGATGATGGTTACAGCGACAATGATGATTATCCTCCACCACAACCCAAATACGAGAGACGACCAATGCCCAAGGCAGCAGATATTAATTCTGCTTTTGATGCTTTATTAGCTGCCACACCCATGACTCCATCTTCGAATCAAACCACAAATTATGTTAACAATGATAGTGATAGTGATTACAGTGACTGGGAGAAATACTATGCTAGAGATTCTGGATCAGAATCTGAAGAGGAAGAGGTAGCTCAAGAAAGTGATATTAAAAGTTTATGTGAGGAGAAAGAGGGTGTTACTGGCAGAAATGCTGATGTTACATCAAAGGAGGAGAATAATGATGTGAGTGAATGTAAAACAGAAGAGGTAGAAGAAACTGGAGATGAGTACAAGCCAAATATTTCTACTGCTGTAACTGAAGAGGAGGAAACAAAGCAGGTAGATGTAGTGGATCATGGTAACAGTCAGATGGCTTTGACTCCAGAGCCAGAAGAGCCAGTGAAAACAGAGGAACCAGAAGAATCGAAACCAGACATAGCAGAGGAAAGACTAACTCCACCTCTTCATTATTTTAATCCTAATAGTGCTAAAGATGAACAAAAGGAAGTTGATGATGAACCAGATATGATTGAGGAGGCTTGCTCAGATAATATTCAAACTGAAGTTACTTCTGAGACATTAGAGGAGAGTAGAGAAGCATTAGATCCAGTTGAAGAGTCCAGAATGGAAATTGATCAGCCTTATGAAATGAGTGAGGATCAGAATGATAGTGAAAATGACTGTAAGTCCGCAGAAGTTGAAGATTATTATCATGATGATGCATCTGTTGAAGGTTCCAGCCACATAGCAGATAGAGTTGATGAAAAAGTGACTCAAAAGGTAGAGCCCAAGATAGTACAAAGAATTGGAATAGAGAAAGAGGAGAAAGAAAGCTTAGAGGGAGAAGGAAGTGATGTAGAAGATCACCCATCAGGCATTCATAGCTCTCAGACCAGGTTAGAATCTGGGTCAGAAAGCATTGCTGAGCCAATGAGAGTAAGTGACGTAACTACATCATCAGGCTCAGGTACAACTTATATGTTGGTTGCTGTAGATGCTCATGGAAACACAGTGCCAACTGTACCTACCCCTGCACTTAGTGAAGGAGGAAGTAACCTAGTCGCTGTAGAGGCTACTATGGAGGATGGCACTACGAGAACCCTCTATATTGATCCTTCACAATTAGGTCCTAATGTTGATCTGAACAATCTCATGCTTCATATAGACACCAGTGGACAAGAACATGTTATCATTCCTTCTTCATCATCATCGGATTCTGAAACGCCAAGTCTTGACCATAGCATGTCAGAGGGTCAGGACAAAAATTATGCTGACCCACAGCCAAAAAATGATGCAGGAGCTGTTGAACTTGAACACTATGAGTTGCCCCAAGAAAAGGGTGAGACCTCGTGAGTAAAAGCTTAAGCTTTTACTTTAGATTGTTAAGGGATAAAAAAATATTTGTGCCTTTTTTTTAAGTATTGGAAGGAATCCTTCCATTTATTATTCTCTTTTTTATCCTTTTTTTTTTCTTGTTCACACAATTTATGTCACGAGTCATTCTTTTCAGCACCAACACAAATCCAGTGGTTTTGTGCATATTTATATAGATGTTCTCTAGAATTTAGATTGTTTCTGTAAAAAAGTTTTAAATTTTAGCTCAAACTTGTATTTTTTCAGTGCTTGAATTACACTGGTACTGTAAGTATCTGCTCCCTTAATTACAATACTTTATGACCCTATTCCTATGCAATTCTTTTTTCTTAAGCTTGATAGGTTCCTAAATAAGTTACATGAAGCAGCATGATAGGTTTCTAACTACTATGTCTTGTGGCTATATTCATAATGAAGTGGATAATTGGATTCTGTTCCTCAAGCTCTTGCATCATTTTATGTTCAAATTTGCTTCAGTGATCCATGTTGGGTTTAAAAGAAAGCATCACTGCCAGTAATGTAGTACATTTAGCACATGGTTCAAAACTTATTATAGCAATTATATAGTAAGGGACTGAGAAACATTGAATCAACATACTGTTCAGTCTTCATGTGATGGATTATTGGAAGTTTTAGAGTTTTATTGAATGGAACTATTGTGGTTGGTCTAGTACTCAGCAGTAGTGTGTATACACTTTTCCAAAGGAAAACAAAGGACTTTATGATTCCTCACAGGTGGATGACAGAGAATGAATGAATAAGAATTTGGATTTTTAAGGTTTTGACTTTTGATGTATACTTGGACATTGGGTAAAAAAAACATATAAAGGGCTAGCAATTGATAATTGCAGATAAGCATTAATAATTTTCACTATTTTTATGGCAAAAGGATTTGGAGTTATTAGAATTTGATAGTTGTTGGTTCGATAAGTGCTTCGAGGGTTCTTATTTTTGTTTTACTTAATTTTGAACAAATGCAATATAATATTTAAAAGAATGCCTTGTAGATAAAGCAATGTCAACCTTCTGTAAGTGAATCATTGAGTTGATGATGCAGTACAAAAACAGTATAGTGGATTACAAATATTAAGATTTTATAAATTGTCAACCTTTGGTTTCATTGTAGGTTGGCCATTTACCCAAAAGCTTCTGGAATGCAAATACCATAGGGATATACTGCTGCAGTTGCATTATATGGGCCTGCAATTAAAAGCTTAGGTTATCTGTCCTTTAAGTGTGAGTTCATTATTTTAACAGAGTGGGGCATGAATAAAGGGTTAAGGATTTGCAGGTCAAGATTGCTAAAGCGTAAAAAGATTCTCTTCCACCTCCTTATGAGACATGTCCTTCATTCTCTGTCTTCACTCGCAAATGATTTGTTGGACTTGATCTGATTGCATTTTGGTCTTGTTCTTCCTGTTTGTGTGTTCATTTCATTCATGTATTTTTGTTTGTTATTTAAAACTGAAAAGGACATTTTAAAAAGTTTAATGCACATGTATAGGACTAATATATAGATGTGTCCAGTGTGATATATATTACTGTTATAAATACAATGCTTGTGTAATAATTTAAAAGTAAGCATGTGAATCATTTGGAAAATATTCCAAAATTGTGATCAGTGTAGATGGAAAGTAGGTCATTTTATATAATTATCTAAATCCATGGAAAATATAACTATAGAAATTAATGATATTGGAAGACTTCTGCAAAGGCTACTGTGATACAAATATCACCCACACTATATCATGGGTGCATGTATTTTTTGACACTTCTTTAAAAAAGAAAATCATAACCAACTTATATTCTATTACTGTAAAGATTATCGGAAGTGATGAAAAACAACAGAATGTTAGCCTACTAATTTGTTAAGTATTTATTCAGGTGAAAATCTCCATTATGGTATAATTTGCTTTTACTCTCGATATTTTAAAAGCTTTTAAGAGTAATTTGTATGTTGTGTAAATTATGAATATAAGTACCTTTCAAATAGAAAAATATATGTACAGAAAACTAATTTTTTTTAACAGAGCACAGAATTTGTTATTTAAAAGTCTTTTTTACTTAATTTAAAAACGGAAGATAACAGAACTTTAGGTACTATGTGAAATGAAGGAATTTTTGCTAATACTGGTAAACAGGTATATTAAATCAAAGTGCAACGTTACTTGGTTAGAAAAGGCAGAGCTGATTACCATTTAGTTCAGTGATCCTTGCTTGGCAGTTGTAGTAGAAAATCAGAAAGTGGAATTGTACATACCGTTTATACCCACATATATATATCAATGTATTTACACTTCTATATCTCATGGTTTAACAAATAATAGATGTCATTTAGTTATTTGAATGGTATTGTAGATTTTAAGAATTGTGGACACATCTCTGTAAGACCCAACATGGACAGCATACGTCTTTGTATCATGCATTTGCTCTTCTTAATTTGATCAACTCATTTCATGCTACAATGTATCCCAGCAATCGTTCTCTTCTTAACTGCTATTCAGAGATCATAATATGCTTTCATACACTTTCAGAATCTCTTGCTTGGTCTCTTTTGACCACGAGTCTTCGACCCCAAAACACACGACACTTACTGTCTGACTTTCATGTACATCATATCAACCCAGTCTTAATGAACAGGTTACTGATAGAGTATTACAGTGCACTCTTACCCAGTGTGGCCATTCATCACATTTAAGGGTTTATGTTTTGTGGCAGTGAATTGCTTGTGTGACTTATGTACCATCCTCACCCTGTCCAAAAGTTTATATTTAGATTATACATATTTTTCTAGGCTTTGGTGTATTCTGTAATATTACCTGAGTGAATATTATCAATGTGATTTAGAAGAGAGTCTTTGTTTGTACAGTGTTCAGTAGCTGTGTTGATAGTATGCCCGTCAGTTTTGTAAAGGTATGTGAGAAGAAGTGGAAATTATGTGAAATCTGTTTTGAAAGGGTGAATTTTTGTCTCACTGTATTGATAATTTCAGAGAAATGTAGGGCATCTGAAGAGAGTTGTCCCAAGAATCCCAGCATTGGTGTGGAATTGTCATTAATGTCTGAGAAGCTGGTGGCCCCCTCAGGCTCCAGGAATCCATCATGTGTTACCAATGAGGATTATCTCTCAAGGTAATGCATTGACTGCTTCATTTTAATATGCAGGTAATCCTCTCACATCAGTGGGGATTAATCAGCATGTTATGTGATAATAACCATTCTTGGGGCAGCCATATATATTTTTGTATTTGTGTTTCATAGTGAACGAGGCTAGGCAGAAGTGGAAAATGATTGAACTATATAAGTTTACGTGTAAATTATATTTTGCAAATCTGATTGAACTTTTTCCTTTTTTTTTATTTATTTTTTTCTTAATGTAAATTCCTTTTACAATTTTTGCTCCAGTGTCACCATTTTTTGGGACACGACAAATGAGAATTTTTGGTGTATCTCATTCATGTTAGTGCATTTTCGAGTGTCATCCTATGCCAGTTATGGATCTTGTGAGTAAGGGCCTCTAGTGAAGTGCCTGCTCTTTGCGAAATTATCTCGGCCTTGGGTGGAGTATTTGGATATTTGTATTTATGTATTTCGTTATGGATTTTAGTCATTAGAATAATGTTAATATCACTGTGATGGATATTTCATTATCATCATTATCATCATCATTATTATTGATTGTTGTTGTTTTTATTATTTTTATTATTATTATTATTATTATTATTGTTATTATTATTATAGTTATTATTGTTATTATCAATATTATTATTATTGTTATTATTGTTCTTGTTATTTTAGTTATTATTATCGTTGTCATCATTATTATTGATTTTTAATTATTATTATTATTATCATCATTGTATTATAATGGTTATTATTTTTATTCTTATCATTATTATTATTATTTTTATCATCATTTTTATCATTATCATTATTATGATCAATTATTGT